AGCCAGGCCGGTCCATGCCACCAGAGGGTCCGGCCAATGAGTTCAGACGGGTCGATGCCACGAGTAGCAAGGTCCGCAGGGTTGGAGGAAGTCTGGACGTAGCTCCAGTGGTCGCCGGGTAGGAGCCCTTGGATCTCCGCCACCCGGTGGGCCACGAATGGCTTCCACCGGGAGGCGTGAGATCGGAGCCAGGCCAGCACCACCTGCGCGTCCGTCCACGCGTAAACTGGACAGTTCTCCATGTTAAGGCCCTTCACGACTCGATCCAAGAGTTTAGCCAGGAGCACCGCTCCACACAGCTCCAGCCTTGGTACGCTCTGCGTCTTCACGGGGGCCACCTTGGTACGAGCCATGAGTAAGTGCGTCGCTACCCGCTCTTGGTTGTCGACGGTCCGCAGGTAAACGACTGCCGCATACGCCCTCTCGGAGGCGTCTGAGAACCCGTGCAGCTCAACTCTCGCATTGTCTGCTCCAAAGTGGACCCACCTAGGAAGGCGCACCTCGTTCAGCCGCCCCAGCGAGGTCCGGAAGCTCTGCCACGAGTGTGACAGTTCCGGCGGCAGGGGGTCATCCCATTGACACCCGGTCAGCCACAAGTCCTGGATGAAGACCTTCGCATACACGAGCACCGGCGCAGCCCATCCCAACGGGTCGAACAGTCGGGCCACATCGGATAGTGCCATTCGCTTGGTCCAAGTGCGCATGTCAGCGTGTCCTCCCAGTGGAGTCACCCTCAGCGCCAAGACATCCGTCTGGGGGTCCCAACTGACTCCCAAAGCCCCGACCACCTCGCTCGGGGGCAAGAGTCTCTCCTCCTGCTCCATCCGCGGACATAGGTCCGGCCAGCTGGAAGCCCATTTGCTTAGCGCAAAGCCACCCGCGCGCAAGAGCTCCACGAGCTGGGTCTGCACCTCACGGGCCTGCTCCGGAGAGTCCTCGCCGGCCAGGATGTCGTCTACGTACGAGTGCCGTGTGATGGTCGCGGTTCCCAGCGGAAAGCGGGCCGCTTCATCGTGGGCCAGCTGCTGGAGCGTTCTCAGCGCCAAGAAAGGCGCTGGGGATGTCCCGTATGTCACGGTTGTGAGGCGATAGTCGCGGACCTGCTCCGACGCGTCCGCGCGCCACACGATGCGTTGCAAGTCCGCGTCCTCCGGATGGATCCGGATCTGCCGAAACATTTTGACAATGTCGGTCATGAACCCGATTCGGAAGAGGCGCCACCTAGTCAAGATCAGCCATAGGTCGGTCTGCAGCTTCGGGCCCGGAAGCAAGCAGTCATTCAGGGAACAACCTGAAGAGGTGCGGAATGACGCGTTGAAGACAACTCGGATTTTGCCAGAGTCATCTCCCGACTTGAAGACGCCATGATGCGGCAAATAGCACGAATCCCGCGGGACTGAATCTTCAGCGCCCACCGGATCCATGTGGCCGAGGGCCAGATACTCCACCATGAAGGCGTTGTAGCGCCTACGTAGCTCCGGCTGTTTCTCGAGACGGCGTTCCGAGCCCTGCCACATAGTAAGAACAGCTCGTCGCGAAGCGCCAAGAGAGGCGTCTTCGCCTTGTTTCCGCGGGAGACGGACAACATATCGACCCGAGGTGTCTCGCGAGTGCGTGTCCCGGAAATGTTCCTCTACCCAGGCTTCGTCAGGGGACAGGACCCGCGGGAGGTGGACCTCCTCCATCTCCCAAAAACGTTGAATGGCATCCGAGAGCCCCTCCCCCGCCTGTGCGTGGTGCACTGCGATGCGATAAGAAGTGGTCGCGTCGCCATCCGAGGCAAGAGCCCCCGTCAGCACCCAACCGAAGGCAGTGAGCTGGGCCGTAGGTGAGCCAGCAGGCCCTCGGCATATCGCAGGTTCTAGTGCCCGGCCATAGACATCCGCACCTAGAATAACGTCGACCTTGGCCGGAACGTCGAATTGCTCGTCGGCCAGTTGCAGTCCTTTGAGGTGCGGCCACCCCGACGATGTCACGCTCCGCGCGGGTAGCATGTTGGTCAGGTTCCGAAGCACGAGAGCCTCGGTCTCAAGACGGAAAGCTGAATTGATCGGGGAGGAGATCGCCACCCTGACTGAGGACGTAGCGGTCCCCGTCTTTGTGCCCTGTAATCCTGCAACGGAGACGTCCACGCGTTTGCGCCTTGCGCGCAGTTCCTGAGCCGCCCGCTCCGTCACGAAGGTGGCTTCGGACCCGGAATCCAGTAGGGCCCTGACTCGAATCGAATGCCCGGACTCGCTTTGGAGGATCACCTGAGCCGTTGCGAGTAGCATGGTACTCCTCGGGCTCGCGACGAGCGACGAGACACTCGCACTCAAAGCTCTGGCACTAGTGGAGGGCGTGGCCTCCATCTCCGCCGCAACGTTCGGAGTTGTCGCGGTCTGAGGCTTGAGTCCGTGGAGAACGGAGTGATGCTTGCCACCGCACACCAAGCAGCGGCCAGACCCCGGGCATACATCTGTTTGGTGCCCGGAGCGTAGACAATTGTGGCACACGCCCAGCCTTTTTGCCTGTTCGCCTCTTTGCGCGACGGACAAGGCCTTAAACTTACCGCAGTATGAGAGAGAGTGAGTGTCCTGGCAGAGAAGACACTTTCCTGTTGACCTTGACTTCGTTGTAGAGGCTGTATTGGCTGATACGCGAGAGCTTTTGGCGGGCCTGGAAGTTGACGCGGGCGCAGGCGCGGCGCGCGAAAGTGCCGCCTCTGGGGCAGCCGCCTCCAAGGCCCGGATGCGGTTCTCCAAGAAGTCTCGCAGCTGCTTTAACGTCGGATACGCACGCGGGTCCGTCAACGACGTTTCCCACAGCAGCCTCGTCTGCGCGTCCAGCTTGCTGGCTAGCAGGTGCACCAACCAGTCGTCCCAATGGTTGACCGGGCGCTCAAGCGATGTGAACGCTCGCACAGCTTGCGTCGCCACGCCTAACAAGCGTTTAATCTCGGTCGGCGACGACTTTGTAGCACTCGGACACGACAAGAGGTTGCGCATGTGCACAAAAAGCAGAATGCGGCCGTTATCGTACCGAGCCATTAGGTCGGTCCATGCACCCTCGTATTCGGCATCGGTCAATGGAGCGTTCGCGATGACGTCCGCAGCCTCTCCGGAGAGGCAGCTCTTTAGGTATTGCAGCTTTTGAACTGGCGGTATGGATGGTACATCGTGTA